TTATCAATAAAGTGGAACTGTCAACATCATCAAGCAATTGTATGACTGATTGCACTTTTGATTGCTTTTGTGATTTATGTGTTTAACAAATACGCATTTATTGTCTGCAAATGCGATATAAGATATTGGAACATTCAGTTTTTAGGCGCAGTCAGGCTCTCAGTCTGAGGGTAAGAGGAGAAAGGAGGGAGAAACGAACTCCCCAAGTTGATTGTTCTGGGCTTAGAGCATTTTATTTTGTTTATTATTTATCACTGATCCCACATTTCTGCCGTTGCTGATCACACTAGGATGCGACACAAAGGGAAGAGCAGTTCCCTTCTCTCCCTTCATCAAGAAGATGGAGACGTAGAGCTCGTCAGTCAGGTTCCTGGGAGTAAAGACACAGAAGTGAGTCTTCTGATGGCTTCAGCACTTTGCAGAGACCACAAACAGACTTGCAATGGACAGCACCACAATGCCCCCATTACATGCTATTGATGAGATGTTTACTGTTTACAAAGGGAATATAGGACATGGGTGTCATAGGAAGATTGTTGCCATACGGTGCCACCATGGTTGGGGACCTCTGCAGAGGACATTTTCCGTTAAAGAGACAGGTCAATTCTTTTCCTTAGAGAAATGTGTGACACGTGACTGGCAGTCTGGGTTAGGAGCATGGCTGTGCCTTCTCAAAAGACGTGCCTCTTCACACCAGGATTTGTGACAGGGTTACACCCATCCAGAGTTTATGTCAGGATGTTTTCTGTATTTCAGAGAGGAAGTTCTGAAACCCCCTTGACAGTGTCATGGCTGCCTCCATAGCAGGAGCCGGAACTTTTGAGATTCCTTTTCGAATAGAGCATTCTAGAATCAGGTTGTCCTGAAGCTAGTCTAGGTACCAGGTCACCTACACAGAAAGAAGCCTGATAATGTCCCACATCTCTCTGGGATGCATCCCATGGTTTGGAATCTGAAGTTTCAATCTAGACCAATTGAAATACCACCTCACGAGAGAGATCTTAGAAGAAGATACCCACTCTGTCACTATCCTGCAAGGCAAATGAAGTCTCCTATTTCCTTAATCTTTATTCATCCCTGGGGCCCTCCTTGTGTATTATATGCATCTCTACATTTGTGTCTGTTGCTACTAGGCCATTTGGAATGGCACATGTCACTGTCAACTTGAAGGTCCCAGCTCCTCAGGGAGCCATGGTCAGGCTCCGCATGCGCTTTGCTTTCCTTGACTGTACGGAAGCTGTACATCCCGTGTGAACTTGAACAACAGTTGTGTGCCTTTCCAGGGAAGATACACAGAAATGCCCACTTCCTTCAGATGAGACACCAGTAGACCTCAGGCATGTCTCCATCCAAACCTAGTTCCTGAACCAATGAGAATATGGAGTTATTTTTATGGGCGAGGGATGCTTATAGGTACACAGGTGACTTAATGATAGCTGAGTCTGTGGAAAACTCCATGCCGGTGTTGGTGACAACTCACCAAAGGTGCACTTTCACTAGAGTTCCAACTCCACCACCCATTGTCTCTAACTCTAGCACTGGGCATGCTCAGGGAGCAGGAGAATCATGGTGGACTCTCTGGTGGGAGGTCTGAGGAGTCCTGCCCTCTGTCCGACAACAGAATATTAATAGGCCTGGTCACATGATTTTCTTTTGAGATTTTCTTACCTGTCATCACACTGGCTTTTATTTCGAGCCAGCAGTGGCCATGCCATGCCTAGAGGATGACGTTTTATTCTACTGACCATCTCATCACTAGCTTTCTAAACCAGCAGTTCTCAACCTATGGGTTGTGGGCACCGAAAAACACTTATTTCTGGATGTTCCTAGGAAGTGAGACATCACTCACTACCAAAATTACAGTTAGGAAGTAGCAACAAAAATAAATGTATGACAGGCAATTTCTAAGGTTCAACATGGTTCAACATGGTTCTTCCATGTGGAGCTCTGAGTATTTGCCTTTATTCTGTAACTTGGTTTGTCCCTTCTAATGGTTCATGGATGATAATCCTCTGCTCCATAGGCAAAGTAATGCTGTGTTTTATTAGTATCCCAAGATTTTAGTTGGCAAAACACACAGAGTAGAGGACTGTGGAGTTGAGCAGCTAACTACGACTCATATCATGGCACAAGGGCTTGATCCTAAATTCCAGGGAAAGAGATAAAACCAATTTCAACCATCATATGGGCATAATTCATCCCAGGACTCCCTGGTGCTGTCCCTTGTGACACATTGTTAGAATGAAAAACGACAAAGTGGATTTCTTGTGTTGTTATTTCCTTGGGTAATTGTACTCATTTGAAGTAAATAAAACTTGATAAAGGGCTGAATACCCACCAGGGCTTAATGGCCTCTTTTTGCCTTGGGTGATTTGGCTCTAGGAAGCTTTTCTCTTCATCAGACATTGTGGAGACTGTGCTTCTTCACATCCCGAATTCAGAAATAGAGCTCTTCTCTGACACACCCAGTCATTTGTTTTCCAGGATTTGGAACAGAATTAATTAGCTTGAGAGAACACTGGGACTATGCTAAGTATTATTAATGATACAATTAACTGTTCTTTCCCTCAGGGAATGGGTGGATCCTTGTTCCCTTGGTTATTCCTAAGGATGGACTCTGTTCCTCCTATTTTGTCTCTAACAAGCCCTGCCCCGTGCCCTGAGGATCTATCTGAAGCTACACCCTGGCAGGGTTGTTACCAGGATCTCTCCTGTTCTATGGAGAAGAATCTCAGATTCTTTCCTGCTCTGTGGCTGAGGAAATGAATGGACCAGACCTACCTCCTTTGGACTGAGGAAAGTCTTTACAAGACACAGAAGAAGTTCATGAGAACTCAGCTCGTGTGGTGTACCAGGAAATGGATTTGGTACTCTCTCATGTGTTTATTATTTAATTTGACCTTTATCACAGCCCCGTAATATGTAGATCAAGCTGTCATCGTTATATGGAAGGAAAGTGAAGGCCCACATTATGCTTTCAAGGAACACTTCCTTGTTGACCAAATGGTTCAGAAGTCATCTCCAGTTTGTTCCACTTTCAAATCATCAATGCTCATCTTCTATCACACACATGCGCTCCATGAACACCATGGCACCCCTGCTTTAAGGTAAACTTTATCCCATCAGGGTGTCCCCAATCCCACACTAACTGGCTTCCAGCATAAACCTCTGTGCTTAGGGTTTGGCCCTGTGTAGAACAGCCCATACCTGCTCTGCTCTGTTTTTTCTGGTTCTTATGTCTTTGCAGTAGGACTGAGCACATTGACATATGACTGTAATCCCAGTGGTTTGGATGCTGAGGCAGGAGGATTAGGAGTCCAAAGGATTAGGCAGGAGTCCAAAGCTAGCTTGGACTGTATAGTGAGATCTGTCTCAAGACAAAAACAAAAAGGTCATCCCCCTGGATCCTTTGTGCCTGGATTCCCAGAGTAAGTTAAAGCCAGGCTGAGTTAATGAGTTAGAGACTGCCTTAGGCTGCTATGCATTGGGATAGGAAACAGCTTTGCTGTTTGTTAACTCAGCATTTGGGGACACTCACTCAGTGTTTGCTCAGCTCTACACTGGGAATAATGATATTAGGTGAAACGGTTGCTATCTCCTAGAATTCCTGTCTTCTCCTTCACATCTCAGGCTATGTCAGAGGCCAACAACCCCAGAGAGCCTGTGTGACCTATTATGATGTTCTCAAGGAGTTCAAGATGGAGGTCTATGTGCAGCACTGTGAACTCACTAGAATTCTTGGACTGCATCTCTTGCTAACAGTGCATCTTACTGCACATAACTAAACTATTGATTTATTATTATATGTGTATATGTGAGCATGGGTGTGTCCATGATTGTGTCCAGACAGATCAGAAGACGGCTGTGGGGAGTTGATTCTCTCAACCTCTCCTGTCAAGACAGAATGTCTCTTCCTTCAGAACACTCTGTCCTCCAAGCCTGGAGGTGTTCTTTTCTCCTGTCTCCCCACCATCACACTGTAGGAACACTGGGGTTACAGATGCCTGCCACCACATCCTTCTTAGTTATCCATTTCATTACGGACTCTGGGTGTCGACGGAGGTGGTCTTGCTTGTGGGTTAAGAGCTTTTACTCGCTAAACCATTCGTCCAGCCTTAGACTGAATATTGTTTAAGAACAGGGACCTCGTGTTGTTCATTTCTGCTGTCTCCATGAACCAAACTGACTTCTGGATTATGCTGCCGAACGTCCAATTAGAGCTTGTTGGAGAAAAAATAAATAATGGAACGATCCTTCGGCTTTGAAGCATGAGCCAGTATTTTAGTATGTATGTGAGAGGTGAAGGGAGAAGGATGAGCCCTCTGAACAAAGGCACTGAAGGAGCAGGGGGCACAGGGAGGCATGGAGTGTTTCTGAGTTCTCCTGGGGACCAGAAGCAGCAAGGACTGCTGGGATACAAGGCAGGGGCCGGGTAGTTTTGAGCTGAGCGCCACTCTGCTTCAGGGATCCGCCCTTCAGGCTTTAGTCTCCAGCTCCACTGAGGCTTGAAGGGAACAAAAGATTGGCTCAGCCCTGAAGATGTTTTGTTGTTTTGGTTTGTTCTAGCTGAGTCCCTTCAGATAATGCATTGATTTGGACACACTCCGATGACACCCATCAGCGCTTATTCGTAAAAAAAGAAAAACACAGGCAGAAACCTTTAATGTGGCATTTTCTAACCAGTGCTAGAGTGGGGACAGACCCTTCCAAGCTAAGACAGGCATGGCCAGCGCTCCAGGCTGCACACACACACTTGCTGGAAGGAGGGAGAAATGCCTGGGAGCTAAGAGGTAGCCAGAAAGAAGGGCAGAAGAAAGAGATCTTGAGAAATGAGGTGACAGCACCAGGCCTTCACCCTTCTGTCCTTAGGATCCAACTCTCAGCCTACCCTCTCAGTGCAAAGGAACAGATCTGCCATTTGGTCTCGGGTCTCAAAGAGCAGCCTGCTCCCAGCCTGCAGCCACCCTGGACACACAGTGGAAGACACACTTTAAACAAACTCTTGTTTGACATTTATTAAGTCCAGGGAGATTGAAGGAGAGGCATCTTACGTTGGGAAGAATAGGAGTTCTTCCTGCCTTCAACCTTTTCCAAGGATACCTGTGTCTGCAGTCACGTCAGATACCTAGACAAAAAAGTAGATGCATTTGCTCTTCAAATTGCCACGGGACTTTTGCGCACTGTACTTGATTAAGCAATGAACCAGTGTACAGCCCTTGCAATATCAAGAGGCAAAACCTTACCCCAGTCCTGGAAGCCTTACCTTCTACTCTAACCTCCACGGGGTCGCTGGTTCCTGACTCAAAGGTGAAGGGCGACAAGGCTGTATAGCGGCAGCTGTAGTTGCCTGTGTGTTGGGGACCCACGAAGGGCAGCTTCAGTTCAGCTGAGGTACTTGTCATTGCTTGATTCATCCAGAAGGGTATGCGGAAGCCCTCACGTACCAGCTCCATGCTGACCTTGGGCACGTGGCCGTGGCAACGAAAGTGGGCTTCATGGCCCAGAGGTACAACGCCCGTCCACAGAGCTTCAAGCTTTGGCCGGGGTGGTGGCCCTGTCAGGGAGGATGGCAAGGAGGTTGTAACAACTTCTGCCAGGCCTTATGGCAGATCTGTTCCTTTGCACTGTCCGCTCTGAGCCAGGCAGCTCCCTCTCCTGTCTTGTACCATAAGCACTGGTGCTGGAAAATCTACATCTCATCTAGGTGTCGGGACCCTCAAATCACAATGCCGATGAGATCCACCAGGCCCTTGGTCTGTCCCATGACTTTCTCAGATGCCCAAAGTGTTGGAGTGGCGAAGAGATCTTTCACAAAAGTGCTTGTAGCAGAAACATGGTTCAAAGGTGTGAGTGGGGCTGATGCCTTTGTATAGTCTTTTGTGAGTGAACTCTGACCTACTGAGACCTTAGTGAGGAAACTGAAGGATCGATAAGGCCTGGGCCTCTTCTGTGTAAAATGGCACATTGTCTCAAGGTAATCAGTGATGTGAATGGACTTGCATACACGCATTGCAGGGAATCTGAAGCACAGGAGAGTGTGTTTGAACATGAAAAGCTTGGACCCTAACATCACTGAACATGGTTCTACGAGATGCCTTCCACCTCAGAGCACAGAGAACAAACCAGGGTTTTACACCTCACCTCGGGGAGGCCACTTCAAGGTTCTTAAAGTCTAATACCTCATTAACGCATAACCCAGGAAGGATGACCCTCGACAGGATCACAATCCAGGAACTCTGGTCCCAAGGTTAGGAACACATTGAACCCTCCACCCTTCTGGCCATGCTCAGCTCACCTTTCACGTGGAGCTCCAGGAGCTCACTGGGAGCAGACCCTGAGAAAGGCGGTTCCTGTTCCATGTAGATACAGCTGTAGTTGCCAGAGTCTATTGTCGAGATATTGTGCAGCTCAAAGACAGCTTCGGTTCCAGACGGTTTTAGCATCTGGAGCAGGGGGTCCTCGGAGTCACCCTGGCGTTGTAGGCCAAAGCGGAGGCCAGCCTTGGGTGCGGTACATCGAAGATGCACGGTCGAGCCAGGTTCAAGGTTCTGATTTGATGGCTCCGCAGTGAGCGTGGGTGCCGGCAGCGTCTCTGTGGAGGATCAGATACGTCGGCCCAGCCTGAAGGCACGGCCAGTGCGGTCCAGCCTATGCTCCAACTCAGCCTTCTGTTTAAAGTGACCTCCCTGTCCCCTCTTTTGCTTGCTTCTGTAGGGCACCAAAACAACACTGCTTAATACTGTACCACCCTCTCAACGTCTCAGCCTTGACAAGCTCTGGGCACACAGCGAGCCCTCCTCATCCCTGCTAGTAGAGGCCCATTAAACTCTGGACCAGACTTCTCTGGCGATCCAGTTTTTTGCTGGGCTCAAGGTTGCTGTTTTAATTGTCCTGTTTAAAGCTTGGGCAATGGAGGCTGAGTAGGTAACATGTTAAGATTTGGAGGTTCTGCTTTGGGGATCCCCAGCCTGCTTGCTTCTCATCACCACCTTCGACTTTCCAGCCCACTCTTGTCTGCAGTCCCGCTGTGAAGCTCTAGAGTGATATTTTATATATGTTTTATAAATGAAGCTTGCCCAAAGACCAGAAGGTAAGCCACTAGAGGCCAGGCAGTGGTGTCTCACACCTTTAATCCCAGCATTTGGGAGACAGAGGAAGATTCTGTGAGTTCAAGGCCACCCTGGGCTACACAAGACCAATTCAACAACAGATCTAGGTTGGTGGTGGCTCACACCTTTAATCCCAATACTAGGGAGTCACACGCCTTTAATCCCAGCACTAGAGAGGAATGCAAGGTGGGATGAGACAGGAACTCATTCTCTTTCAGTCTGAAGATTTCTTAAAGACAAGAGCTCTCTAGTGGCTTGTTATTTTGCTTTTCTGATCTTCAGGTTGAACCTCAATATCTGTGTCTGTTTTGTTTCGGTTTTGTGTTTCTTTAATTCCTGCTACAAGACTCACCGTCACTCCACATGAGCTCTATGGGTTCACTGTCTTCAGACCAAGTGTCCAACTTTCTGTGCAGACGGTAGCGGCAGGTGAAAGGGCCTTGGTCCTCCAGCTCGGTCAAGTTCAGGTAGTAGAGACTGAGGTCTCGGAGAGGGCTCACCCCACGAATGTTTAGCACCTTCTCGCCACGCCTGAGTTGGAATTCAGCCGCATTCCGAGGCGCTTTGCAGGCCAGGGTCTCATGTGTGCTCCGACGCTGGACCACTGGGTAATTTCCCATAAAATACAGAAGGGGCGGAGGCGGTGTGGCTGCAAGGCAGGGGCGACCACTGAGCAGGAGTGCAGGACACCCTGCTTTGTAGGGTCTCCAAACCTCTGTCTTCTAGTGACAGTTCAGGGGCAGCCAGCTTATCTCTGGGCACCAGGCACTCAGTCTCATGCTGGCTTTTCATGATCGGGGTTCAACACTCACCGTACTTTTTGATGGTCACAGAAGCACTGGGCTCAGAGGGGACGCCCTCTGCATGAGTCCGGTAGCTGCAGCTGTAGGTGCCAGGTTTGCGGACTACAAACCAGGCCTTTTCCATATCTTGGGCTGTAGTCACCATCAGGAAGCTATCATCTCCTTCCAACCTCAGCAGGAAAGTGACGCCCCGCAGTGCAGCTTGACACTGCAGGTATGTGCCCAGGAAAGAGGTGATCCAGGGCACTGGCTCGGCAGTAAGCCAGGGTCGGGGCAAGGGCTCTGCAGAGCGGGAGCGGGAGGGCAGGGTTGGCGAGTGCTTCAATCTCACTCCCGAGAAAGTCAGAGTATGGAATCCAGATTCAGAAAATAGAAGCCGGGAGGAGCAGCAGGAGGTGTGGGTGTGGGGTTCAGAGAAAGAGGCAGGGAGCTGAACACTCCTCTGTATCGGGCTTGTTCCCAGCACTCTATGAGAGTCTTTATTCACAAGCCCCTGGGGACAGCATAAGCATTCCTGCTTGGCAGATGAGCAAACTGAGGCTAAGAGCTAGCAGGTGACGCAGATGGGAGCTTTTCCATCGACTTCCCTCCGCTGCCTCCTGACCCCATTACGGCCCCGCTTACCTGTCCCTGTCACCTCGACAGGATTGCTAAGCATTGTCCACCTGTTCAGCTCGGTCAGTTTACTAGTGGGGGGCTCCACGCCATACCGGCAGCGGTAGAGGCCGCTGTTGCTGCTTGTAATTGCTCCCAGCTGGAACCGGTGTGACCTGACGTATTTATCAAGGTGGACTTGGTCAAGGTGCCATCCGTTCATAATCAGCTGGAAGTCCTTGGTAGGGAATTCAGCTTCACACGTGAGTGTCAGGTTGGCCCAGGGTTGCAGCAGGGACTGAGGGTCTGCCCAAAGGGTAGCTTCGCTGGAAGTATCTGGAGTAGAAAAGAGCCATGGTTAACTTGCTGCTGTTAGGAAAGGGGTTTCCAAGAAGCCATAGGCCCCCATTCCCAGGCCCTATCGCTGAACTTACAGACGAACACAGCAGTGGCTGGTCCCAGAGTGAAGCCTGTTGGAACAGAGTCTGTGAGTTTCCTTCCATACCACAGCTGCCCCAGAGGTCCCGGGCCTCAGGACATCTTACCCCAGAGCAGCAGCACAGCTGCCAGCAGAGACATGGCTGGGTCCTCAGTCCAGCTGGAGTGTCTGCAGGGAGCACCTGCAGTGACGAATTAATCTGCGGGGCCGACCTTGCACTTTGTTTGCCCTTCCTGGAAAGTAGGGGCAGAGATTCAGCAGATTGGCATGGGGACAAGGAGGATTCAGCAATAATGCTAACCAATAATAATGCGCAAGTATCGAGCCAAACTGATAATAACAGTAAAATCTTCTCTTATTCAGATAAAAAAACAAAAACAACAACAACAACAAAAAAAACACTAAAAAAAAACCAGTATTTTAGGCTCAATAAAATGACCATATATTTTTTTTAATGTAAGAGAGTATTTTATTCTAGGCCTGCCTGGGCTACACAGTGAGCCAGATCCTAATTTAAATAGAGCAAGAAACAAAACGAAGCCCAGGAATACATAAACCCATTTTGGTATCCAGAAATTGTCCTCGATCGTTTAAAGTATTGTGTGCAAGTTTGGGGGTCACAGTCACCCTGTGTGTTCCTCCTCACATTCCCGTGGCTCCTTCAGTGAGAATTTCTTTCCCTTTGGGAACAGCAGGAAGGGGATGTCGGCATTTCCTGTCTCTCTCTCTCAGTTCCCACTGTCTTTCCAGCAAAGAAAGAATATTTTATCATGGATGACATGGGAGTTTGACTTCCACCATCTCTCAAATTGTTCACCCTCTAGGGTCTATGAAATCAACAAAAGCTGAGAGCCCAAAGAATTAAAATGAATAAAATAAACATTAATTTTGAAAATTTTTATATTTTTGTGCTTGTCTCGTTATGTTTGTATGTGTGAGTTCATGCGTGTGTGTCAGGTGACAACCATAAAATATTTATTGTGGTTCTTTGTCAATATTTCCAGTCATTGTTTTGTGTCCACTGGCTGCGAGCGTCACAGGCCCCTGCTCCAGGACATGTTTCCTCGAGAGAGCCCATGGTTTCTCTGGTCTTTCATAGGGTCCTTCCCTAGTGAGCTGGAACCAGGAAAGAGTTTCAGCATGCAACAGAATGAGGAATAGGGCCTTGCCTTGCATGTTGCCTGCAAAGAATCGTGTCCTGACTAGAGTCAGGGGTGGGGACAAGCTAGACCTGAGATGCAACCCTCATTGGGTGTGCTAAGTCACCAGCCATGTGGCCACTCTCACTCAAAGAATAAATCCTCCTTTATTGCTTTGGAAGGTTCCAGAGAGGCTGGCAGTCCTTGCTGCTCTGTAGACTTCACTAGGGAGGCAGAGTGGAGATAAGACTTGGGAAGGATCTCAGGTAAGGCCTACTCCTTGTCAGTGGGCCCTTGTGGTTCTCCACAAAACCTCCTCCATCAGGAAACTGACAGTGTATCTCCTAGCTGGCCATGGCTTCCTACTTCAGTGGGCTCTCCACTGAGAAGATAGAAAGAAGAAGGCTGTCATTACAGCTCTTTGACATAGTAGGCCCCATGGGCACAACTGAGGAAGGCTTTGTTCTGCACTCCCTACTGTCCAGAGATCTCTTGTTGAAGCTGTATGATTCTTCCAAGTGGTGATAGCTAATGGAGAGTTGAGACAAGGAGGAGTGGACTTATGACCATTGCAGGGGGTTCTAAACTGTGCTCCCATTCCCTGGTGTTATAACCTGGTGCCTCAAGACAGGACTGAAGACCCCGCGTTTTGAGATGTTTCTTCCTAATGATTTCTGTCCTGTATCTTATTCTAAAGCTACTCCTTTCTTCCTCTCTGGTTTCTAACATCTCTCTTCAGATCCTCCTGTTCAATTCCTAGAATTATCAAGTCTGACACACATCACACTTGACTTAAAATTTGCCCTTATCTTGTGAGGACCACGTTATTCCCTAGAATACCCAGAGAAAAACAATCAAGATTGAAATTCAAAGAAAATAGTGGACTCGTTTTTCTGCACACTGTCTATTCCACTTCCAATTTTCATAGAGAACCTGCTGTGAAAGGAGCCAGATTTAGATTCTGGCAAACATGTGCCACCATGAATTTTTCCATCACTGTGCGTCAGTTTGTCCCCAGTCCCCGTTCTTGCCATCAATACATGAGAGAAAAGTTGGAAAAATTTTGGTGAGATTAATTTATTTTTCCTCTTTCTGGTGAAGTTGTATAAAATAGTATCTTGATACTTTCATAAGAGTGGGGGTAAAATGGCAAAGGTGAAATCAGTGGTTGCTAGGGTTTTTGTTAGGTGTGCAAGCATATGCCAGGTGACCCCACCCAGAAAGAAAGGTGAACCAGAAACAAAATTCCCACTACATCATTCTAATGAGGACTCCTGCTTTCTCTTCCCTGTGGTATGCTGAATAGTCAGGCAGTGTACAGGGCTCAAGTTAGGACAGACTGATGCCTCCTTCTGTCCCTTTACAACGATTCCAGGAAAGAGCTACTCAGTGAGCAATGGAGCCCTGACTCATCTGAAGTCAGCACACAATGGGACCAGTGCTAATTGCTGGCAGACGTTCCTGAGGTTGCTGTATCAAGTTACCCCATACCCAGGGGCTTAAAGCAGCAGAGAGGTATTCCTCAGAGTTCTAGAAGTCCTAAATATTAAATAAAGACTTTGGGAAGGTCCTGGTCTGTCCTTGCCTTTTCTTAGGGTCTGGGGGAAGTTGGGAATCCTTGGCAGTGCCTAGCTTACACATGCACCACTTTGTGTGTCCTTGGTGTGTCTTTCCTTCTCTCTGACTAAATTTCTCCCTTCTTATGAGAACACCAGTACCTGACCTAGTGTCCATTGAACCCAAAGCTTGAAGGTGTCTGTAGATCTACTCCTCTCTCAGGTCACACTCCTAGCTGGATTAAAAGTCGAACATGTGGAGAACACAGTGCAGCCCACAACAGCTGTCTAGAGGGCTGATGAAGCTGCAGCCAGTCAGAAGACAAGAATCGGCCTGGTGCTAATTAAGTGTCTTTTTGGATCACAGATACCAGAATCAATTTCTCTCATGCCCATTGTATACCTTGGAATGTCTTTTCTCTCTGTGTGAGAAACTGTTAGCAAAGAATGGTTCCTTGAGTTGGGCTTTTAAGGGAGTAGGGCACTTTCCACAAAGTATAAACTTGAAGAGTTATCCAGTTTACTTCAAAAGTACTGTTATTCAGTACTTCAAAGGCAGGGGTGGATGGATCTCTGTGGGTTGGAGGGCAGCCATAGTGAGTTTCTGACCAACCTACTAGAACTACAGAGTGAGATGCTGCTTTGGAAAAAAAAAGGCCTTAAAATTGTGTGTGTGTGTGTTTGTGTGTGCATGTATACACACACACATGCAAGGAAGACTGATATTTTGATCCAGGTTTGAAGTTTGATAATTTGTTCTAGCTCTGAAAATTGGGCCTGATTCCATAACCCATACCTTCTATTTATCAAGTAACATTTTTTTTACATTACCTCTTTTCCCATCAAAAATGGTATTCAGATAAATAATTATTTCCTGAGTTGGGCTTATAGTCCAATAGATCTGTTAGGTAATGGTGACAATAGTCACCACCACAATCTTAATAGCTAAAGTAAGAAGGGAAGTCTAAATTTGGACTATCTATCTTTAAAGCATGTGTAGTCACTCACTTCAGCCTGCTAAAGTCCCTTTGGAAGAGGTGGTCTTGACATCTCCATTATCCAGCAAAAGGAGCCAATAGTACAGGAGTCAATGTGATTCTCATGAACCCAAAGTTGCATGCAGATAGTGAAGTACAGTCATCTGAATCTCACTCCCACAAGCCCTGCCAAGCTAGAGGCTCAGTGTTCCAGCTCTAGTGGAAGTCCTTTTGGGGCAGAAAACCTGAGTGTTGGCAAGAGAAACAGTGCTGATCCCAATTATACAGTTTCTTATCTACACCATGGGCCCAGCCAGGAGAAGACACAGTTGTCTATAATACCTAGAATCTTACTCCCCAGGTTCCCTGAAGACTGTCTCTCATGGGAAGCTTTCTAGGTCACAGTATATGTGACTTTCCTTGTTCTTACACCATGACCCTTCTGAACTGGCGGTGTGTGGGTTGAGTCCGTCCCTGGCGCAGGAGGAATGCAGTGTTGCCTCATGTGCTCTAGCTTCCTTCCTGCTCTGCAGGTTTCTCAGGCTTCTCATTGACTTTCAAACACTTTTCAGGACTTACTAGCAACTCAGTCTTTTTCTGTCACTAAAACTGCATAGCCTCCTAATCTGAAATAGAATAGAATTTTCTTTTGGGGCACGCTTTTCAACATCAAACTTCTGAGTATTCTTGCAGGCTTGTATGAGGCAGAGTTCATGCTTTGACAGGTCTTATCTGGACATTCGGACTGCTTCTTACGCCGCCATACTGTCTGAGAAATGACTAGGAGACATTATCTGTAAATCAAAAGCAAAGGGGGAAAGCCCATGGCTAAGAAATAATAATCACTTCCAACTTCCTTATTGGTTAAGAGGCAGAATTCTTTCAGTGGTTTTGGCTTCTTCAGCCTCCTGTCTGATCAGCCTTGCTCTAAAGTCTAGATATACAAGCTCAAATCCTTGTCATAAGTACCAATTCCCTTGCCTGGTACTTCTGATGTCTTTGGGAGATCAGTACATGCAGGATCTATATTTGACAGTCCTGGCTTCCCACCATCTTTTAATTTTCATCTGTTTCAGTTTTCAGAAGGATACTGTTATAGAAATGTTTTTAATGGCTTATTTAAACAAATAACGGGCCATAAAGCCCCGCATTCTTTTTGAGTGAGTATGGTATTACTATTTCTCTAAGTTCATCCCTCCAATGCCAAGCACAGGACATTTTACAGCCTTATTATATCCCAGCCTAGTGTTATTTGCTGAGAAGTGGTCCTTCCCAAGAGTAATTCTCTTCCCTCTCCCATTTCCTCTAATCCCAAGGACGCATCCAAGTAGATTCAGTTGTTTTGACTACAAAATAGAGAAACGGAATGGGTTTAAAAATAATGTTGGTGTATTTACAGAAATCGTCTTCTCCTTTTAAACTTTCTCTTTAGATTTGGGTTTGAAGCTTTTCTTTCTGGGTGAACCCAAGATTCTTCTTAAATTTATTAGTCCCTTATTAT